ATGAATTATTGGTATCCATGTAATAACACACATATGATAAAAGCATATTATAATCCAGTTCCTCTTCAATCATTTTGATTTCTTTCAGTTGTAATGCAGTAACTATCTGGTTCACACTCCAACATAATAAATAACAAATATTATTTATGATCATTATTTCTTCCGTATGTGCTGAGCTCCCTCTCAGAGCAGAGGAGGTATGTTATAGAGACAGCTGTTTATGGCTTATAGCACGTGCTCTCTCTCTTGCACTAACTGTCCATTTGCTTGGAATTAGAGCCAAAAGTTTTATTACAACCATGAAAAATGAAAAGTCAGCGGACTGATATGTTCTGTCTGTCTGTTTGTTATCTCCTCCGCTCCATTTCTGTTATAGCGGGGCACTTACACACTGATGTTTGTGTGTATCTTTGTGTCATCGTCACAAGTATTTGTTATACGTGGGAGATGCATATTTAAAACTACAGAAAGTGAAGTGATTGATCACCCGACATAATAATCTATCTGCACAACTCTAGTAAGTTATAGTAATTCTTGGTATTTTGATTGTAATTCATTTGCCAAAAATGTGAATATAATTTTGTTTAGTGTGTTGTAGTTGTTGAAATTGAGCAATGGTGCTGTACTGAAACCAAAATATGGACAATTGCCCAAGACTATCAAACACCTAATAAACATTCATAAACAGTCATGGTTCAGATCATTCTGTTATTTCTCTTACCACGTGCGTCAGTAATTTGTTGTTTTTCCCTTAGGAAAACAGACACCTGAAAATGGTACAAATCTGATTGTGTATTTTTCCACACAAAACCAATCACAAATTGTTCGGAAGTGAACTGAGAGGAATGCTTGGGCTTCATGTTTAGACAAGTCCATATAAATGAGTTGATTGTCAGAAAGACCCTGATTACTAATACAAGAGTAGAAGAGTTAATAAGATCCTTATATTTCCGTCCTGTTGATCTCAGTAGCAATTACATCGAACTAAATCTGAAACTATAGACGATATAATATACATGATATAATAATATAATAACATCACAAAACGAGAGCCAACGTTGAGCTCACACCTGCTCTACTGACCCCTGACTGTGGAAATCAACCACAGCTTAATCTGACCGTACCACAACCGCACCGCCATGATCTCTTTTGCATTTAACGTAAAAGCTACAAATGCAACCATTATACAGCTACACACTTTATTTTGGAGTTGTGAAATTCTGCCTGTCATGAGAAAAGACATTGGCATGAAAAACAGATTTGACATGATTTAAGAAGGGGACCGGATCGTGTTAAAACACAGATCCCTGAATCATCTTTTTTTCTTGTGAAAGGTGCAGTATTGTTGCCATGACAGCACTGTGTGTATCTATTAAAGGCACCATGATTTCTTCTATGAACCCATCAATCGTTTGTGTGTAATTGGGTAAGTCATATAACAACAGGCCTCGCACTTTCATAGGTGCGGGAATGTAGTTTACAAACATGGTGAGGATGACGACTGCAGTAGTCAACACAAGTCAAAAGCAAAGGTTTTTGGCAGACTGGGAAGAACTTCGATTACTTTTAATAAGCAATCTTTTAGTTCGTCACCAAACATTCATTGTGCTAATCACTTTGACGACTATAAATCAGTTCATTTTGTCTAAACCAAGTAACAATTAAAAGTCATTGCCATTAAGAACTGATCCCATTTCTTTTCATACTCGCTTTTTGCAAAATGAACCAAGAGCTACACACATTAGATCAGACAGACTGACTGGTCACCCACTGATTGGTTGATTTCGGTGACTATCGTCACGTATCATCTGTATGACCTGGACCCATGTGGGGAAATCAAATTCAGGTCACATGTCTCTGTCAAAAACAAGACTGCTTTCACACCAGAGCCTGAACTTTAAACTTCATCTGCAAAAGCAACAGTTTGATTGAACCATATCAAACAGGAAAGGGGAGAAAGCATCCTTTACACCCTGAAAGAAATTCCACTAGACCTGCAGGTGATTTTAACAAGAACATGCACAGAATGTAGATCCGACTTGGGAATTGAATGAATGGTCAGGTACACTGCCTGCACTACTGCTGATGCCACACTGACCTGCCTGTCCATCTCCTGGTTCATTTTTCCCTCACTTTCCCCTCCAGACACCATGGCCTCGGACTTGGAGGTGCTAATTCTAATCTCGACTGTTTCATAGGCCTTGTACAAACCTGGAATTAAAATGTTGTTTTGTGATCCGATCTCAAGTGGACAGATCCAAGTACAGGTGTGAAGGCACCTAGATCGGATATAGATCGGTCCTGGGCCACCTTCAGAGGACCTCCTGCTCAGCTGACGACCTCTGACCCGCTGCAGTTTCACCATGAAGGGAGCATATTTTTATTTTCTAACTAATTTGTTTGTGACCACCCCCACAATATCGACACTGATCACCACATAATGATCATCCCTTAAATTGGTAAAATCTTTCTTCAAAGCACAGCTGCACAAGAGTCATTCAAACTCTCCTGACTCGTCTCTCTTTCGCTAGCTCTTGCCGACACAGACACACACAGGACACACTTAAAAACAACATAACTTGGTCTCCATGGAGAGAAATAATGTTTGTGTTTGTTTGTAAAGAGCGTGGTGGTGAGATCCAATCTGAGATCTGATCACAAGATCCACTTTGGGGCCACATTTTAATGCCAGATGTGACCGCACACACTCAGTTGCTGTCCAGTGTGTGTACTGGGCCACACTCTGCTCCTCCTGAACCGGGCACTCTCAGTGACTTTGTGCCGAGGGTGCAAACACAATTCTCTCTTTGGTTAAACAAGGACCTGATGGCCCGTAGCAAAGGCCCCAGTACCCCTTACTGTCTGTAATCATTCATCTCTCAAGAAAGCTAGATCTAGCAATAACACGGACCAAGCACAAGGCCAAATCCATACAGGCAAGTTTAGAGCAGGCAGTGCACCAGTATAATAAATAACTGGAGAGTGTATGTCCTGGCTGTCTAATCTGTACCCAAACTATACATTAGATTTAGCCTAACCTGTCCCAGCTTATCAGCAGCTTTGTAAATGTGGTTTTGGTTTTAGGGTGCTGCTAAAAGGGCTCACCCGCAAGCTTTTTTCAGTATGGAGTTTTTGTTGTCACAGCAAAAACGTTTTAGTTCAGAAAACTGTACTTACAGCCAGGAGTACCGGGTCAGGTTCGAGTCTGCAGGTCAAGGAGTGCAGGTCAGCTCTAACCATGGGTTCGGGTGAGGTCGAGCAATAAAAAACCTTGACCCGCATATTAAAATGAAAAATAACAATAACATGACATAACAGCATCAACTAAACAACTAAATAAACTGTGTACTTTCCAGTACCTCCAAAATGCATGTCGCAACATGCCTTGTAAATTCACGCTCACCTCGCCAGAAATAACACAACGCTGCTGAAGGTGTGAACATGATTACTCATTGGTTTTCAGGACTAATGCCCATTTTTTATAAATATCCCCTTAAGAAACCCTAACAGCTTTCATCAGTTGTATGTTATACAAGGTCTGTGAGGTCTGTTTATTTTGTTTTTAGAAATACAAACCCAACCCAATAGCAACAACACCCTGCCAAAAAGTACAGCTAGAGTAGATATTATCTTTCAGGTAAATCAAATAGTAATTTTTAGGCTTGGCGTATGTATGGCAGTAGAAGGTCTGAAACTAAAAAAAGATGAAATGCTTCATATGATTAGATATTGTCGTACTCATTTCACACACCTGTGGTGGTCATGTGCCAAAGCAGCTTATGAAACTCCAAACATTTTTAAGTTTAAATATATTTTGATTAACAGTTTTAAAGAGTCATTTTTCGAGCAAATACCAAACATTCTCTGGTACTTGTCTCTAACACATCAGAATTTGCTGACTTTCTCTGCTTATTAATGTAAATCAAATATCTTTGGGTTGGACTGGTTAGCAATTTCGTGGTCAGCATTTCTCACTTTTTGTCTCCCTATTCTCAACAGTACATATCTTGTCATGTTCATTGAACTTACAGGTCCTGAGTGAAGATAAGATCAACTTACCGTTAGTCAATTTGATTGTTTTAAATGCATGTTTCAAGGTTTGGGAGTACACAATCAGCTGACACTTTTTAAGGTAATCCTGAACTCCTTTAACATTACTTCTGCACTTCTCATGCTACAAGTTCTTACATCTCAAAGCAAAGCCATTGCAACTAAAGTGTAGCACCCTAATACGTGGTTAAGCTTTACACATGCAGGAAACTGCCCATGTTTAGAATGCTTGGAATTAACTGCCGGTGGATATAAGTAGCACTCAGAGTTTCCCACCTATCATCTGGAGTTGCACAAGTTCAGTATAAAGCACGAGTTTCCTCCTAATCTTTCCAGTGCATGCAGTTACCATAACAACGCAGTACTCATTTAAATATTCATAGCCCCTTGTAGCAATTTAAAATCACAGATGACTAACCTGGGTTAAAACAGAGCCATCTAAAAACATCTTTAGAAATATTTCAGCTAAACCTCATTCGCAAGCAACTTAACTGCTATAAACAATGCATGGCCACAAACCATTAAGATCAACCCAAAAACAAGTAAACAGAAAAATGTTGATATAAAACAAGATGTTAATTTATTTTTGCACAGCACAGGATAAGTATTTGAGAAAAAAATGGAGACTGACCTATAACTCCTATAATCCCTGAAATGCATAAAACCCCATTCTTTTAAAATACCCCAGAAAATGAGTGTAATAAATCAGAATTAAGATTTACCCAAAACTTCATTAGTCACACTGTTTGGGGGATTGCTATTTCGAGCGCAATCTTACTCTGCATTTTTTTGGTTTGACTGTCTACATGTGGGGTAGTCAGGGTTGACATGAACTGTCCCACAGTCCCTCCCACTGGGTCTGGCATTCAGGTACAGCTCCCTCCCTCCTTCTATAAAGCCTCTCATGTTAGCAGTGTAAACTTCAGACTTCAACTCATAGTAAACTCTTTACAGCCTTGAAAAAAAAAACACCTTACTCTCCTAAATAGTGCACAAAACACTTGAATGCATGCCATCATTTTTCTACATCAAGATACAAGCTAGAGCCTGAGGTAAGTGACTTTTTACACAATTTTAATTTGAGTTTAAGATTGTTTTCATACAATGGTTAAAAACATATTTAGGTATTTAGGAGTATAGATTGATGCCTTGTTAAATGTGGGTTCATGCTTGAAGGACTAGAATGTTTTTTTATTAATTCAGTGATGATGGCTGGACTGATGTATGGATGTTTCATCAATAACCTGTCTTACACATCCAATAATAATGAATATATTTACAATTTAGCAGCAACCAGTTTTCAAGCCATCCTTTTACAGGCAATTGCCAATTAAATAATGTCTTCATCTAATCAATCATCACTTGAAGCAGGTTTTCAGACAAAACCTCATAAATACCATTTCTGCATGTTTACTTTTGAAGTTTTCAGCCAAGATGAGATTAGCCCTACACACTATCATCTGCTGCTGTGTTTTCACCACCGTCCTGCCACTGGTGAAAGATGCCACTGAGGAGCTCAACTCCAGCCTAAAAAAAAGGTGACTTGCCTTTGTGACTAGCCTTGACTGTGAGAACATTGTGTTCACTCTAAAAAACCTGCTTTGCTCTCTCTTTTACCATTGAAATGAAGGGTTGACCTTAATGAAAAAATGAGTGAGACATTGTCAACATAATATATATATACATTATCCGACACATTAAAACAACTATGATGGTTAAATGTTACTAAAGATTAAGGGTCAGATGATGTAGTGATGGAGCATTTTGCAACTGAAAAATAAACAGGTCATCAATCAACACATTGTTTTTAAATGACCTAAAACGTGTCTTTAGTTATTGCTTGTTAATTAGTAGTTGGCATATATGCAGGTATTAATATAACTGTGATAATGTTGGTCAAATGGATTTGTAATACTATCTCATACTCTTATATCATTACTTTATGTCTGTATTCTACAATTTATATTTGAATTAGTGCCAGTTCCTTCGTTCATCGTCTCTTCTGTTGCAGGTTTAAAGTATGGTTGCAGAGCCATGCAAAGAGAGACCTGGGCAGCAGCTTAGTCACAGCCAATGAGCAGATCTCTGACGTCCATGTTGGACCACAACAGGGCGAGAACGCCAAAACTGCCTCAACTCAATTAAGGTAACGAAAAAAGCTTCATTTTGGGGGTATCTGTGCCCTCATTTGTTAGCTGAAAGTTAGGGCTAGAAATGCACTAAGGGATGGAATCGCACCAGGAGACCCCCAAAGGACTCATGAGTGCAGTGGAGGCCACCTTATTAATCCAAACTACCAAATTCCAAATAATGTCATACATGTGAAAAAAGACATTTTCAAGAAGGTGTGTAAGGGAGGACAGTGGATAATGTATTGCCTATTGAACTGTTTAGGTGAATGAATCTTGATGACTATTCAGATTTAAACCCTGTGAACTCAATCATGAAAACAGTCTGAAAATAGCGACTAATTATTTTTCTTTTCCAGCTTTGGGTTAAATGGCAGATCCAGGAGGTCAACATCATCGAAACAATCCAGCTGCCTCTTAGTCACATGTGTATACCACGACCTGTTCCACAGACTACATAAGATTAAGAACAGCCAAAGAGACACCAATGCCCCTGAGAACAAGATTGGCGCGAAAGGCTATGGGCGGCGGCGGCGGCGCTCACTCCTGTACGTCACTCAACCTGCCCTCCATGTGGGAAGACTGGCCACTGAAGCTGGTCAGCAAGTCTGCAGATACAATAGTGTATGCACAGTGGCCTAGGACGTTCATGGAAAGGGAGGAGGAGGAGGATCCTTGTTTTTTGTTCACAACAGACAAAGATAATTCTCCTATGAGGTTACATTCTACAGATTTACAACTAGCTATGCAGAAAGAACGGCTGCTACATCTGTACTGCCCATTATAGGAAACTCATGATACTCTAGAAGAAAGCGAGACTCTAATAATAAATACTGAGAAGCTTGTGTTCGCATGCTTTCCTGCAGGTTTCAGTGTGTCTGAACGAGTGTGAGATTTATGGATAATTTCAAGTCTGACCTGTGGGACTTGACAATAATGTCTGTCTCTTCTTCAATTTCCAAAGTCAGCTTGGTAGCTGAGATAGAGGACAATTCCTTAAGATCTTCTCAGAAATATCCATGAACCGAAGAGGAACCGAGGCCGGGAGGATTTTTCTCTCAAGAAAGTGCTGTTACAGGACCCCAAACTGTCACGTTTAGGATCCTCTCAAAGTGAACTGGATGTGTTGAAGTGCAATCTATACCACGTGTACTAAGCTTATGCATAGAAAATGCAATTATCAACTTGTATCAAAGGACATATGAAGCTACCTTACATTTAAGCATATACTACAATTGTAATTTTATACAGCAAATATACATATTAAACATGTTTCTTACTTGTTTCTCTAACTTCAGTGAAGTATCTGATGCATCTTAACTGTGTAAATAGTTATCTTGTCCTGTATGTGAATGAAGGATATCATCACTGAGTTATGTGTTCCAATAATGTTCCAATTGTCTTAACATTATTGTGATCATTATAATTTACTGGAAATTAATCATATTTCAGGTTTGTAAGACATTTGTTTGAATGGTAAAAATCAGCACTGGCAACTGTAAAGCAAAGCGCTCATTCAGTTTTGGGCCAGACAGAAGCAATGGAAAATTATTGAGAGGGTTTTCTACTATGATGTCGAAGGACTGATGTTAGTTTGTGTTGTGCTGCCATCTAGCTTTGTAGGCTACATAATGTATAACTAAAAGTAGGTAAACTGTTTTTTACAAACAGTGCTGTTTCAACAGAGTGCTTACCATGTTAATATTAAATGTTAATCAAAAAAAGCTGTACTTGTTGTTGTTGATGTATCTGCTTATTGTTTGAATGTAATAATTCACAATGTACTCATAAGTCAACTTGAAGAGTTGTATGGGATTTATGCTGTTGTTGTTTGTTTTCAGCCGGCTGCGATGTCCTTGTTTTTGAAATAAATGAATGCAACAATGAAAAGTTGAACTCTGATATATTTGGTGAACTATAATTTGTAGTATAAAGTAGTATGCTATGTTTGATTGTAATTGCTACTTGTAGTTGGTGTTGTAGACAAACAGCAGATCCAGAATCCTTATCAATGCCGATCTTAACTTTCACAGACATGCAGGAGACTGTAACTATAGCAGTTTCAGGTAAACTAGTCCATGCATTCATCTGAAGCAGATTGGATGATTGTAATGATAGTTTTGCAGGACTACAGACAGTGTTTCTCCTACCATTACCTTGAGGATGCTTTTATATCAAAGACAGAGGAGGAATGAAAACCATTAACAAACAAGTTCAACATAGAATTGTATAAGGCACTTAGTGGTCTGGTTCTCCAGTATAATACTGACCCTGTCAGTCAGTACAGATCACTCTAGGCATCTAGTAGTTGTCTTAAATGTACGAGCACTTTTAGTCACTTTGGACCTGTTTACTGAAAACTCCCAGATGACCGGAAACAATTCTCGGCTATTTTCACATTAAAAAGAAAAATTGAAACATTTCAGCCTTGACACCTCTCAGCAGGTTCTGCCACTATGTGTGGGGTTTCTCTGTGTGTTCTGGCTTTTTGCCCACACTCCAGGACATGCAGATTGGGGGGAAGTTTATTGGAGAATCTAAATTGACTGTAGGTGTGAATGTGAGTGTGAATGGTTGCTTGTGTGAGCCCTGTGATGTGCTGTTGACCTGTCCAGGGTGTACCCTGCCTCCTGCCCAGTGTGAGCTTGGTTTGGCCCCAGATCCCCCACAGCAAAATGGATAGATAAATTAAGAAAGTTGTTTAATTTATGTTGTCAGGGCTTATGCCTAGACTGTCTAGAGTGAGAGCGAATTAACTAGTATTTCTTTCTTATTTGTGTGCTGTCCATTTCTATTTTTTAAACTAAAGGATTTTATCATGTTAATTTGATGAAAGCACATTGAACTGCCACTGTGTATGAACAGCGCGAGACAAATACAACTTTGCTTGACTAAATATGATTAAATCCTTAATTTTATTAAGTCCAAAACCTATGAAGCAATGGTGCACATTCCATTCTAACAAATAAATGAATAAAGCATGTACTAACATCAATCCCTCCTTAGGACAACATGTTCTTAAAATTGTGGAATTATGACGTTTCAACAAAATTAATTATGTTTTGGCAAAGACAAGCCAAGTTTTGAAGAATGGAGAGAAGAGATGTATTAGCACCACTCAAACGAGGACCAGATAAAGATATAAATAACTATGGAATTTGACCTCCACCTATCATCTGCAGACTGGTCACACTGTCCTGACACAATATACAATTTCACCAGAAATCTGGTTATTTTCTTCAGAACCTCCCTTTCAGATTTATAAGTACATTGCAACATAAAATAAATGGTTTAACTACAGTTGACACAAATGTTTCAAAGCAAGAACATTTCCATAGTTCCTTCAAATGAAATTAGTTTTTTCTTTGCCATCCATACAATACAACGTCCTCTTTTTCCACAAACATCCAGCACAGTGCTTAAAACAACATGAATGTAGCTCTATTCAACTATTTGGGTCATCTGAACAATTCATCATATACTTTGCCACAAGCAAACTGAGCCTGACTAGTGACAAAAAAATTCTTCCACTAGTAGGCTAGTGAGGAAAACATCATTGTCACTAGTTTACTAGTGGCTCTTTTTGGACCCGACTAGTTTGCTAGTGAGATAATGTGACTGTAACTTAACTAGTGGAATTTTGGGCTCTTACTAGCTACTAGTAAAATATTTGAGCCTCACTAGTTAACTAGTAAGGTCAAAAACATCCTCACTAGTGTGACTTTTGGCTCTTTTTGGCTCTTACTAGCTCACTAGTAAACATTTTGCGCCTCACTAGTGAGCTAGTACGGTCATAAAGACCTGAACTAGTGCAACTAGTGGACCTTTGCGCCTCACTAGCTAACATGTAGGTGGCAAACCTAGTAGCACTAGTGGCTGCACAAATGTCCACTAGTTGCACTAGTTGAACTAGTGGACTGCAGGCAAATGAAGCAGGCGGGACAAGGATTTTGATTGGTCAGTGTTCAAACTGTGTTTCAAGCCTTAAAGGGCCCGCTCTAAATTATGATGATCTAAAGTTTAGATTTGAAATACTTTAGCAGCATTCTTTTATGGTACATTATTTCATCAGCCATGCCTCTAACATTTGATGAAATGGTGATTCATTGAGCTGCATAATATTATTCAGATCAAAGAGAACAATCGTCTCTTCCAAAATAAAACAGATATACAATCCCACAATCAATGTTATCACTAATTTAGTTATTATTGACATATTTGTTTGTATATGACAAGTTTTCAATTAAAAAAAGTAAAGAAAAGCTACTCAGGTCATTTTGCCCTGCCATCTACTGGCGATAGTAAATGTCGCAGCAGGCCACATACACTGACCTCCAATACAAGTCAGATTAGTTGTTTATCATACAATAGCACAATACCTTCAATAGACCTACAGTGGAATATTCCTGTATTTGGATAATTTCTGCACCTTTGTATCCACAGTAGAAGAAAAGAGAACGAATGTAGTGTCAGCAGAATAAAACTGAAATGGACTCTACTGATGTGGATGTGCCTCTACAGAGTCCTGGGACTATCAAAAACTTGCAATATCAAAACATTAATGGAGGAGGAGGCTAAATTGTAGGCCTGTAGGTGTTTAGTGGTGAAACAATGCATGATCATTTCTGCTAGCTAACTAAACAATGCAGTCTGTCCTACTGCCAGTTATTCATATCGGGATTGAGAAGGTATCATTCCCCACAAGAGGAGGTAGCTTGAATGTTTTCATTTCCAGGGAAAGGAGGCAACGATAATTTTCTAAAATAATACCTTACATACTAGATTATTGTATGGTATGTTATATCAGTTATTTCCACTGATCTGTAATAATATAGTATATTTTTATTCCATGGGGAGACATGACATCAAACTTTGCATTTAAATAAGATTTAACCATCACTGCTATGGGCTTTTATTTAGATTAAGCGAGAAGGGACTTCTCTTCTGGTATTTCTGTTCTAAACATTCTCTTGATAAAATGTTCATGTGACCATGTTGAAAGAAAAGAACGAAAAGGCAATGAAGGTGAAGAGCTGCTTTTCTGTTTTACTCACTCACAATAGAAAATGATTACATAGCTTTGGGTTTCATTGTTAAAAAGGAAGAAATCAGCAATCAGTGAATTTACACAGAAGAAAAAAACAATTCATCGCTTTGTTTCATTGAATGAATCTGACGCAGACACAGTTTCATGCGTTACTCCATATGGACAGTAAGCAAGGAGCTGGCAGTTCACAAAAGTGAAAGCTCATTAGGCTTTATATTTTCGTTGGGTGGAGTTCTTTCTGAAGAGCCAATAGGAAGGTTCAATTTACGCCCCTTTCCCATCTCCTCATTAGCATTTTGTGCAACTAGTGTGACTAATGCAACTAGTGGGCATTTTCACTGCCACTAGTCCAACTAGTAGACACTTTTAGCCTCACTAGTTCAACTAATAAAGTTAAAAGACACTTCAACTAGTTAACTAGTGCACATTTTGATTTCACTAGTTGAACTAGTAAACATTTTTGACCTCACTAGTTGAACTAGTGAAATCAAAATGTCTCAGACTGATGTTACTAGTGGATATTTGGACCTCACTAGCTTACTAGTAGAAATTTTTAGCCTCACTAGTTAACTTGTAAGGTCAAATAGGCTTTAACTAGTTAACCATCGGCATTTTGGCTCGCACTAGTAAGCTAGTGCAGAAAATTGTAGGTCACTAGTTAGATAGTGAGCTGAATCCATGCTTGACTAGCTTACATGTCAGAGCTTTTGCAGCGCACTAGTTTACCAGTAAGACTTTCAGCCTTACTAGTTTGGTCCAGAGGGCCACAAGTGCGTCAAAAAAAATGACGAGTAGGGACTTTGGTGCTGCTAGTGTGGCGCACATCGTTACTAGTATGTGTTGTTGGAACTAATCAGACAAAAGTTGCTGAAATAGGGTGACTAGTAAGAGTTTTTGTTCAACTAGTACAAAAAGATGCCAAACTAATTTGACCAAATGTCCAACTAGTGCTGACAAAGAGCGAACTAGTGGTGGGGACTGACGTGATATCAAGGATATGGAATAAATGCTCAAACGGCTTGCCATACTTCAGGGTCTTCAATCCTATGAAGCTCGTTTACTTTCTTATTCATATTAATTATGGAAGAACTGTGACTGCTTGTAATCACGTGTGCCGTGAGTGTACAGGGGAGCTGGCTTTGACCTTTATTACTCTCACTTTACATGCTGCCACTGGGTGACATCATCAGGGCGCAATCTGTGTGTTTCCATAGTTACGCAGATAATATACAATTGAACAGCGCTGCTAAGTCGAATGAGGATAGCGTTCTGCGCTCCATCACTATATGTCTTTGAGCAATAAATACATGAATGAGCAATAATTTCCTAAAAGATAATGAGGACAAAAGAGAAATTCTTTTAGTCGAAAATTCCCAAAATAAAAAAGAGAAAATACAAAAAAAGAAAATAATCTGGGTCAGTGAACACCTTGGATGGAATCAGGGGTGACAAGATTAGG